TCACAATAGTGACTATGAATATATTCTTATCAAAGATTTGGTATTCATCATCTTTATATAAGATAATTTTAAACGAACAGCTTACTTCCCCCTCTCATACGCTGGCAAACATACACCGTTACACCACTGGTTATAAGTTTTTTTTGTTCTTCAAATTTATTTGGATCATCGGCAGAAAATTCTGTACCTTTAACAATGTAACGAAATGATCCTCCATTTTCTGCTTTCCCTAATTTATCTGTAACCACTTTCGCTAATTCATCAAGCGTAAAATTATCACTTAGCTGGCCAGTAAATATTTTACCACTCATTGATAAAAATATCACGTTTGTTGGCATATTTTGCTGTTTTCAAAGAAGAAAACCTTCTGTTAGTTCTGAAAACAGAAAAAAATGCTGCTGTTTTCATATAACTTAACTGACAATGGACAGGATCTTTTCCCATTGTATTTTGTGCGTCATGTGCGTATTTATCTTTCTAGAAAGACAAAGCGTTTATTTTTGAAGTAAGCGTATAGAAAGATTCTTTTGAAGAGAATCTTTCTATACGCTTACTTCAACAATAAACGAGAGAATAAACTGAGAAAAATTTGGTTAGCATGATTATTAAAATGAACTTGTTCGGCTGTTGTTGTACCTTGAATTCGATAAATCAAAAAAAAGAATCAATTTTTCAAATGATGAAACCAGCAAACACGGTTTTAATGAGTCTTATTTAAACATGGGATCATTTAAATAATTAATTAAGTCTTTTGTTCTGATATCACTAAACAGAATTTGTTGTTGAATTTATCAGTTTCTCGACCGCCTATAAAATTATGTGAACATTTCATCATACATGGCCAACAGCTGATGGGTTCTCGTGTACTAGACAAAAAACGTCTTTTTTTGGTGAAATTAGAACAAAAGAGACATCAACTAAAAGATGCCATATTTTCTATACACAGTCAGTTTTAAACAATTTCACCTCTCACAGAACAGCTACCATAGTTTATTGTAAATTGTGAATAGGGCTAATTTATTTTATAGTCATTACGAACCTTGATTACTAGACTTATGATCATCTGACGACGATAATGTCTTTGATGATGACATTTTGTTTCTATATCCCCCTGGCCAAAAATAGTTAGACTCGACATTTTCACTATATCGTTACTATAAATTCGCATTTTGAGAAAAATAAGTAAATGTTCGGATAGTCCGTGGAATTCTCTACAACCCTGTATAAGTATGTTCTGAATCGCAGTTGTTAGCTAACAATAAATGTAAGCACAAAAAAGGTACCCTCATCCTTAGATTCTCCGGAAATTCATTTTTTTCCGTCATTCTTTCAAACTGTTTTTTTCTCGTTTTCAGAAATTTTTACGATACAGGGAGATAGAGATTTTCATGCGCTTTCGAAGTATGTACTTAGTTTTTTAATGACTCGTTTCTATATTAAAAAGAAATGAAAAATTTCTGAAAACGAAAAAAAAACAATTTGAATTTGAAAAAATGAATTTCTGTGGAATCTGAGGATGAGGGTGCCTTTCTTGGGCTTATATTATTTTTAGCGAACAACAGGTTGTAGAGAATTCAACGGGCTATCCGAGCATATCCTAATTTTTCTCAAAATGCGAATTTATAGTAATGATATAGTGAAAATACCGAGTCTAACTATTTTTTGCCAGGGGGATAAATCATCTGCCAAATGTTTGTGATCAAATAATAGCTAATCGTGGCTGGGACAGTAGAGGGTTATAGAGTTTCTCACGGCCCTTCAGATGGCCAATTTAGTTTTGAAATAAATTGATGATAACTTGAAAAAAATCGATGAAAATGTAGAAACGCACACTTCACCGAGGAATGGGATGATGAAGGTGTCTTTGTTACTCTTGAATTTTTTT